TTGGTATAAAATAATGATTTTGAAATATTTAAATTTATTACATTTTATAGAATATTCGAAATTATAATTTATTAAATTCACAAACAGCAGACAGCTTAAAAAGTTTTGTTTAAGTTTTTCAAAAATCTTTTTCATGCAACATTTGCCTTTGGCACCTCGCCAAATTCCGCACATGATTCTTAAAAGTTTGAATGAGAGGATAGAGGGGGTGATTTGGGCAGACGCGGCAGCAGCAGCAGCAGCAGCAACACCCCAAACCATCATTTATTGGAAGCTCTTGTAAGCAACATCATAATTTGATAGTAAACACATTTGCCTGTCCTTTTGACCGACTGTCTGCCTTGGACGTGGCACGCTGACACGACATTCAAATACGCACATACACACATAGCCATAGTAAATAGACTGACAGATCCAATTAGCGGACCGATCTGGACTGGCCGGGCACTTAGCACTTGTTAGATGTTAAATGTGTTCGCAACGCACTTGTCACTAGAAAATTGAGACTTGATGTTTGATGGAAACAATTTGAATTAAGTTACATAGGAAATTTCGGGCCTGGAACAGAATTTCTTAATGCGCTTAAATCAAGTGAAATCAAGCGATGCCTCGATGCCCTAAATGTTACTTAGCGTTCATGTAAAATGTTGACAACTTACCGAATTCAAGTAGACATTGCCTCCGAACGAGCTCATATTCAAGATAATGCCGTAGTAGACCAGGTTCATGGTGAACCAAATGCACAGAAAACAAATGGAGATGCGCCTCAAGTAGCTGGACCGGAACAGATACGTGACGTCTTGTGAGCTGCTCTCCTGCGTAGGTGGCGTCAGCTGATAGTCCGGGGGCAGCTGGCGTCCATTGAAAACGGCCGCAGCTTCAATGATGCGTTTCACTTCCTCAATGCGACCCTTGACCAGCAGCCAACGCGGTGATTCCGGCACCACAAACCTGCCAAAGAGAACCACACCCGACATAGTTTCAGTCTCACACTCATAAATTAGACACCTCCTCGTCTGGTCAGAGAAGCCTCGACTGTATAAATGTGTGTGCATGTTTATAATTGGGACACCCACGCGCAGTTTTTTCTTTATTTGCCATTTATTGCTCAGCCGACTCAATGATCAATGCGGTACACATACATAGGCAGGCATAATAGTTTACTTATTGTTTATGTGTACACGATATTTTATTGGCAATTTACACCTTTCACGCGCCATGTTTTGTTTATCTTTGCGAACAGCTTTTGCTTCAGCTGGAAATATGATGAAATTAATCGACCTTACCAGAGAAAACAGAGGAAAATGCCTGGGAGACCAATGCACAGCTGCAAACGTTGATAGTCTTGCGTCAAATAGGCCAATCCAGATATTATCATATACGATATTGGCAGTGGGAATAGGTTGTACATGCCGGCTATTGTCCGCCACTTGCCATCCACATATTCGATTGCCAGAATGAGGCCCGAATAGGTCACAGAGACGGAGACAAGCCCCAACAGGGCACGCAGCGTCAAATATAGCTCAAAGGAACTGCAAAAGTACAGCCAAAGACCTAAAGGGATGAAAAAGGCAAAATATTAATAATAATATGATTGAATTTTAATTTACATACATATGTGCATTGAAAATGAGAATCAGGGTGTGTTAAATGTATGTGATAGGCAGAAGGAGGCGTGGTAATGTCTGTCTCTCTGTCCGTAAGCAGAAAAAGGTAGGTATTACGTATTTCCTCTAATGATTTCCTCCAAGTATTTTTTATAAGTGCTTCTTATTCGTGTTTTCTCTAAGAATTTCTCTTCGAAGTGGTTTCTCTTAGTATTTCCTCTAAGTATTTCTTCGAAGTATTTCCTCTAAGTCTTTAATGCTTAGCTGCACGATCACACACTTCGCTTCACTTGGCCTGGGCGACTGAAGAAATGCTGCAACTGCTGCCCTATATATAGGGCGACTCTCACTCAAACTCTAAGTCGCACTCAAATGTTGAGCCCGAAGCCAGGTAGGTTTCGTTGCAGTCGAGCTTCAAATGACCAATGGAAACACCCTCTGCTACGTCAGGCATTCTAGCTTCGTTAGTTTCGTAGGGATCGTTGCAGTCGAGCTTTAACTAACCAATGGGAGTGCTCTCTGCTACGCCAGGCAYTCTAGCTTCGTTAGCTTGTGACCTCTCTCTGCTGAAGGTACTCTCTAGCTGCATTTTACTTAAATATAAGTACCAAATGAATACTGCTGCATACATATAGACAACTTAATTGATCTT